AATGGTGGTTGAGGATTCTTCAGTATCGTCGGCGATTATGGCGGAAGAGAATCTCGATCCTAATAAGAAGACGAATCCTAGCCGTAAGGAGAAGCATGTTCCAGCGATTAGGGCTAACTTCGGCGACGAAGAAGGTCCGTCGAAGGAGAAGAAGATCTTTTGCGATGACAATGTTTCGAAGAAATCAACCACCGTGGTTCAGCAGTCGCACTCTTTACAGAATTCATGGGAGTTTTGGTTCGATAATCCTCAGTCGAAATCGAATCAAGCCACTTGGGGAAGCTCTCTGAGATCCTTGTATACATTCGCTACTATCGAGGAGTTTTGGAGGTGAGATTTAGTCTCTTTTTTGTTATCAGTTTCTTTGGTTTGAGAGCAAATCGAAATTGAAATCCTTCCGAGGCAGAACCAGTAGAATAGAGATTAATATAGCCCCCATGATTTTTGGTATATATGCCCCTTGAATAGGGATTCTCTGATCTCTTCAAGTTTTTTTGCTGGAAGCTAGTTTTCATCTAAGAAGCTGGTTTGTTCTTTGTGTATCTGCGTTTTAGGCACCTTCTTCTTAAGGTATTCGATTATCGGTCATGGATAAGTTTTAAAGCGTTGCTTGTTGAATATTTGATGCAGTCTTTATAATAACATGCATCCTCCAACCAAGTGGGTTCCAGGAGCTTGATCTCTACTGCTTCAAACATCAAATTGAACCGAAATGGGAAGATCCTATNTGTGCTAATGGAGGAAAATGGACTATGATGTTCCCTAAGGCTACTAAANTGGATTCCAATTGGCTTAACACGGTATTCTAACTTTCTTTGTAGTTTTTTTCCNTGNCCAATGTTGCTTGTTGGATGTGTTTTGTGATGTTTTCNTGTNCTTGTTTTAGNTACTNGCGTTAGTCGGTGAGCAATTTGAGCATGGAGATGAGATTTGTGGGGCAGTTTTGAATTTCAGAGCAAGATGGGACAAGATCTCTCTATGGACAAAGAACGCTGCAAATGAGAAGGCTCAGGTAAATCATGGAGATGTTTATATGCGTATATTTCTGTGGTAATTGATAAGGCTTGTTTAGCATCTCTACTTTTTTAAGTTCTTAACCAAAAACTAATAGAGGCTTTTCCTTTTCGGATTGATAATTTGTTGTGTTTTTGCTGCAGCTAAGCATTGGGAAGCAGTGGAAGGAACTTCTTGGTTACAATGAGACGATCGGTTTCATATTTCATGTATTCTCTTATTTCTTCAACATCTTTGTGCTCTCTTAAACTACATACTGGTTCGTACTATTNTGACTTGTCCAATTCATTCTGCAGGAAGATGCAAAGACTCTTGATCGTGATGCTAAACGCCGGTATTCTGTNTGAAGGTTCACACTTTTACTTCCTAGCTTCGCTGAATGAAAATAAAGACTTCAAAGGGAAATCATCTGAGAATATGACCTTTAGTTTCTTGCTTTTGATTATCTCATTTTCAAACTCAATAACAGAATTAGTGAAATGTGTTCTAATCAAATGTACCTGATTTTATAAAGAGAACAGAAGGGATTTCGAGATTAAGTTGTTGTTTTTCTCAATCACTTATCACGACAATTGAACTCAGTTATTGGTTATATAACCATAACAAAATAGCTGTTGAAGAAGAAAAAAACCATTACACTAAAACATTTTCCCGCCAATAAAAAAAACAAGAAGAAGTGCATATACATTTTTTTTCTTTTTGTTCNTGTCACTAAATACGCGTATAATGTATCATGGTGACGTTGGATTGATTGCAAATACTGTAACGGGAACTTTATGCATATAAAGAAAAATTTACTAAATAATGCATATAAAGAAAATTTAAAGAATCAAACCATTCTTTNTTTTTATTTTC